CAGTGCTTTCTCCTGCTGGCCACAACCACTCTCCCACATTCAAGAATCTGGCTGCAGCGGGGGATCAAGGAGACTCCTACTGAAGCACGCGGCAGGGACGTTATCCTGCAACGGCTGCGCGTCACCCAGCCTTTATTAACCAAAATATTTTGTGCCTTCGGGCTTTGCCAACTGCCGACTCGCAGACTAAGAGCTCAGAGCGCGTGTAATCCATGGGCATTACCTGACAAGGTGTGCTATGTCCCAGTTGGCTTCCAGGGTCAGGGGTCCCTCCACCTCCACGCCTTTCTCCGTTGCAATAGCTACTTCGTACTGAGGAGAGAAAACATTGTCAGTTGTCAGTAAAGCCCGACTTCCACACTTGAAGGTAAGGTGGGCCCTGCGAAAGCTCCAATCGGTAAGAGTCAGTGGCAACAGCTGTCCTTTAACCAAGTTTGCTTTAACGTGGCTTTGCGTTCAGTAATGTTTTTACTTTTTGCTTGGTGGGCAAGTTGAGGCAGTAGAAACACTTCCAAAGCTGAAAGATCGCAGCCTCTGGATGCTACCACCGCAGTGACGGGAGAAGCATCATCAGATCTAAGGAAACGCCAGAGATGAGCATCGCTCAGAGTCAAACGGCTCTTCTGAGGCTGCAGGACACAAGGGGAGACTGGAGGACAGCTTTGCTAACAGGATCCCTTAACGTACCCCACCCCTGCCAACTCGGGAGTCGCTGCAAGGTTTCCCCGAGATCGGGGACAGAAGGTGGCCTGGGGGGAAGACTGGAGCATCAGCCTGAGGCGCGCCAGAGCTGGGCACCTACCCTGTTGAACGATCGAGCGTCTCTGTAATACAAAATTTTCATGCAACGCTCAATCAAGTCACGGGCCTCCTCCTTCGTCAGGCTGGCTTTCTTCTCCAGGACTTCTCTCATCAACGGCTGGGGAAAAAAAAAATAAATAAAAGCCAATAGCTTGACAGCTCAGTCACCCAGCGCTGAGGTCGCTTTAGCAGCTGAGCAAGAGCGTGCTCTACCTGAGCTAGGTACGCTCCGTAACCCGTAGCGAGCGTAGGGGCTTCGTAGGCCACGCCGAGCATGTCCACGTAACCTAGGAAGCTGAAGGGACAGATCCGTGAGCACGGCGGCGATAAACAGGCAGGGCTGTGGCGGGGAGGGACTCGGCTTTTGAGGGGCCACACCCAGCCAGAGACCCCTCTGAATCCCGTGGCGTGAGAAGCAGCCCCAGGGAGGGACGCGCAGTAACCACCACGCGCTCCGCGTCGCTCGTCCTCGCTCACCTCTCGCCATTGTAGTAGCCTCCGATGACAACGGTGTTCCAGAGCGGATTTATCTTGGACCTCCGGTTGTACATGACCCTTGTCAGCCAGGAATGAATGGCTTTCGGGCTGTAGCTGTGACCATCTCCCAACAGCTCCTCGTCGATTCTAATTTAGGTAGAAATTTCACCCAACTAAGAAAAGCCGGAAACCACCCGGGTGAGAGGGCAGCAGCCCACCTCTGGCTGCACCACCAGCAGGACAGAGCACCCTCCCGCAGGCTCCCCGCAGGCTGTTTTGGAACAAGGCCTTACAAGAGGTGAATCAGCCAGAGGCCACAAAGAATAACTGAAACCGGCTCTCCACAGTGCTCAGCAGAGAGTTTGGAAACAGACGCTTGTACCAAAGGGACCGTCAGAGGACAAGGGGGATTTCAGCTCAGTGAATGCATTTAATTACGTTTCAGTCCTTTGAGGACTGGGAAGAGAGAGCAGCGCAGCACGAACCGCAGCGCGGACAGGGCTTGCCCGGCCTGAGCCAGAGCTGCAAGGGAGGCGGCCGCGGCAGCCCCCGCGGGACAGGAGAACTTACACCATCTGGTCAATGATCTGCTTGAGGTACTGGAAGTCGGCGTAGTCGCCGGACGCCCCCAGCATGGTGGTGTCGTTCACCTTCAGGAGCCTGGAGATGCTGCGGAAGCGGGCGAGGGAGCCATAGGAGCCCATCATGTCAGCAGCGATGATCACCCCCCCGTCGAACTTCACTCCCAGCACCGAG